ATTCGTCAGTCATAAATCTTTCACATATTACCTCATTCAGAAGATAGTCAGTCGTATAATCCTCTTGGACCTACAAAAGTAAACAGTTGCCGTGAACACAGTCACTATTACCATTTTAAAATAATTACATACGTATAATCTTAAAACGGTAACAATACATAGCTTATTGTTGAATGTATTTTTAGTTTTTTGAGAGCATATTTTTAGATTTTTGAGAACGCATTTTTTTTATTTTTGATCAAGAGATTTATACGTGGTTTACACATGTTCAAATTATAACAGACATGATAACGAGAAATATAATGCAGCAAGTAAAAAAAGAAATTTTATAATGAATAAAAAAAAATAAATTTTATAATGAGTAAAATGGTATAGTGAATAACTAACAAGAAATAAATTTAGTAGAATAACATTTGTGAATAACCAACAATAAATGAATCTAGTTCATTAGAGCAAAAAAATACTTTGTTTAACATTAAAACATTAAAAAAAATACTTTATCCAATACATTACGCTTTTTATATTGAAAATCTGATCACCAAGAATATGCCACCAGCAGCATTACAAAGAAATAGTTCTTTCAAGATATTGCAAGTAACATTGCAAGTAATTTTGTAGGTATGCATAAGTCGGTGTAAAGCAAAAAGATTGATTTGATATTTATCATACACACTCGGAAAATGGATCTCCGACTACGGTGGCGGATTGCCTTCCGGAATGAATATCAGCCACATTATCCCGTGTCAGGTCACATGGGTACCACGCTTTAACGCATTCCTTATTTAAGCAATATAAAAAAATTTTTTGTAATCGACCAATCAAATGGATTTTTAATTAAAAGACGTGTTTTTTTAATCTATTAATCATGTGCCAAAATATTAGCCAATTAAAATTATTTTATTTGTCAGTCAAATTAAAATTTTTATTTAAATAAATATTTGAAGAATATTTTAGTTAAAATAAAAAATTATGCTGTCATGCATCCTTTTTTGTTAATAATTCGTATCGTTATTATACAATAAATGAAGAAATTATAATAATAAATATAAAATTTAAAGAAAAACTCAATCTTATTTTCTGCTCAAAAATTTCTTTTATACACAAAAGCATCAACTTTAATATAACAAAGACAATACAAACAGTCTCTCTCAGTAGAGATGATAAAAAGCTCAATTTGGCACGGATATTTACGATTATGGTATTTTGCTATTTCCACCATGAGTAATTTCATGTATGGCCTCAATATCTCAAGACTCAGTGGCGAGAATGATATATAAAATCCACCATTTGATTCACTATAACCTAGGGAATCAAATGGAATCGAGGGAATGATCTTATGCTTGATTCCCGCCACTGGGTTTCGAGATATTGAATCCTGATTTATTTTTGGTACACAGCCTCTTTGGCGGCTCGACATCGCAAGACTCATTAGCGGGAGTCGAGTGTATCTCAAGATATTGAGACTCAAAGAGGCTATACATGAAATTACCCAGCAAAATACCATGATGATCGGTGAATTCTTATCACGTGACATAATCCATGGTGAAGAAAGTGTATCGGTATTAATTAAAACTCTTCCCAATCAAAACCTGGGAGATTAGTAAATCCCATAGTTTTGAAATTAACAAACTTTTTTTGTCTAGATTCCCTTTCCTTTTCCAATTTTATTCCTTTCTTCATAAAATCATGATTAACACTGGTTTTTTACTCAAATCTCTTTTCTTGTCTAACTCGAGATATATATAGGCACGAATGCCAAAGGACATACTTGCACTTTTCTCCGAAAGTCCAATTCTTTTAAATATACACACAAATGATGGCTTCATGACGAAATTCTTAAACTTCCTACTGTTAAATTTTGAAATATATATATAGCCATTTGTTTTCTTATACTGGTATTGTAACTTTTATCGTATTTATTCTCCATGAGCACTTCCGGGAAATTCGAGGAAGGCGGGAATGTTGTTCAGGGCATATTGGAAAGTATAGGTACTGCCGGGGAAGCTGTAAAGCCTTTCATACCGTTACTAGGCGCAATAACGATAGTTATCGACGAAATTATCAAAGTATATGAAGCAGCACAGTACAACAAAAAAATATGTAATGCCTTAATGGATCGTGTAGAAGCCGCACAAATTGCTGTTAAAGCATTACAACGCCGGCAAAAAGAGAACGAAAAAAAATTTCGAAATCAAGCATATTATGAATCATTTAACCGGTTTCTGCAAGTTTTAGAGAAAATCAAGAAATTCATCAAGGATGTGTCGCAGCTCAAAGGGTTTCGTAAATTTTCACAGGCCAATTCGGTAAAGGATAGATTTAATGATCTTATTACGGAATTTGATCAGGTTGTATCGGATTTAAATTTGGCTATGGTGATTGCTTCTGACGAACAACGACGTATTGATCAAGTAGCATTAGAAGAAGACTTAGCAGAAATGAAACTGGTATGTTTATATTCATTTCGAGGTAATTTTAGATAGATCAATTTAATTTTAAAAAGACAATATCCTTATAATATAATGTAGTACTTGGCGAATATCGAGGGAGGTCTTACAAATCAGGACAAAAAAATTAGTATAGCGCTGGAAGAAATCTCCTTAGTGAAAGCAAAAATTGAAAAATCAGAACAAGAAATGAAACCAACACAAATACCTTCATCTGAAATCAAGTTCCCATTATTACCACCACAAAATAGAGACACAGGTTCCGTAGAAAAGAGAATGTGGAAAGGATTAGATGTTGCAATAAAGCCCATTAAACTTTCTAAAGATACTGAAATGAAAGAGGAGGATAAAACACATAGTCCATATAGTATTGAAACTGAACTCGCATTATTAGGAAGATTACAAGAAGGACGAAATATCATTAAGTTTTATGGACTCTCAAGAATAAATGATCAAGATGTGAAGGTTATGGAATGGGCGGAATATGGAAATCTCCGAGGTCTTTATATGAAAAATGATATTGATTGGCCGAGGAAAATACAAATTGCAATTGATATTTGTCGTGGACTTACTTTCTTGCATGCGGTGGATATTTTGCATCATGATATTAGATGCGAAAATATTTTGGTTAGTGTTTGCTTGAACCTAATAAAAGTTTTTATCTAATTGAATGATTAATATCAATTAATTAATTATAGTTAACCGATCGTCTCGAAGCAAAAATTGCCAATTTTCATCTTAGTCGCCTTAAAGAGGGCCCAACTAGGGATATAAAGAGTAATATTATTGAGATCGTTCATTGGTTAGCACCAGAGAAGTTTTCTAGTAAACCGTTTAAACCATACACGACAAAATGTGATATCTTTAGGTTAGAATCTTTTCTATTCTGAATATTCTTAAATGAATTTGAATTCATTAAGTTAATTTAATAGTTATGGAATGTTACTCTGGGAATTGGGTCATGCGAAAAAACCCTATGAAAACATGACTATTAAAGAAATTAAAGAACACGTCGAAAAAGGAGATCGAGAAACAATAAACTTTGGCCTTTGCCCATCGGGAGTTCAGATTGAATATGCGAAATTGATTAAAGAAGGTTATATATTATTACATATTTTATGATAAAATTCTTGTAACTAATTTTCTTATCTTTTTATTTCAGCTTGGGCAGGAGACCCATATGTACGTCCCACCCTCCAAGATATATTCTTGAAATTAAATAAAATAAACGAGACCTGTCCAAAAAGCCCTGGATTGTCTCCACGTAATAGTTCGGACAATTCGGATATTCCCTCTTTGAAACCGATATCTTCCCCTTCACAGCATAACACGCCTTGTATCGAGGCCAATTCAGATGATCTTCCCGAGTTCAATTTTGAAATAGAAATTCCAATCAAACCATTAATACCACTCGAGGATGGAATAAAAGCATATAAAGAACACGATTTCAAAACCGCTTGGGAATGTTTTGAGGGACATGCCAAAATAAAGAATAGCAAAGCAATATACTGGCAAGGATATTATCTATGGGAAGGGTTAGAGGGAAAAAAGGATTTCAAGGAAGCTGCTCGTCTATTCAAACAAGCAGCCGACGATGGTATCTCCGATGCACAGCTTCGATACGCCCTTTGTGTAATGAAAAGTGAAGGCGTGAAATTTAATCGAGATGAATTTTTAAAATATTTGCGATTGGCAGCTGATAATGGGAATCCGGCAGCACAATACAATTTGGGAGATGTGTTATTGAACGGAAAACTTAATGTTAAGAAAGATGAGGAAGAGGGTGAAAGCTATATTAGGTTGGCGGCTATTAAAGAGCATCCTAAAGCTCTTAGAGTATTGGAGGCGCGTGGCGTCAAGTTATACGGATAGAATAGATAGAATAGAAATTTTTGATTTATTTATTCAATTTTGGTGAAATTTATTTTTTTATTCTAAAAGAAAAAATAAAGAGCATTTGTTTATGAAAAATTAGCACATCGCACAAAATCATTTTGCGAATTCTTTTTACGTTGTCAACGTTAGGTATATATTAATTATATTCAAATTTGCTATATTATTTTGATAAAGATATTCAATTAATAAATGTCGATATCAAAAATTTTTTAAATCGATTAGGAAATTTTCTTAGATAATGCACAAGATTATATGTATGAATAATTTGATTTTCAAAAATTTAAAGATTTTTCTTTGAATCAAAGTTTCAGGTACTATCGCTATTATTATAACTAAAGTTTAATTTTCGAATATTAAGCAAGATTGTGGAGATAAGGTTAACTACCAGAAATTCATAATGTACTATCCCAACAAGATTGCACTTAGTCGGATCTACCCTGTGCTCTAGGTGGGTATAATGTTCGCGCCTTCAATATTTGTCGACATAATTATTTTCGAACGAACGAAAAAAGTATAGCAAAGAAATTTATTTCAATGTGATATATAAGATTCATTAGTTAATCACAATGACGATAAGTTATATCTAAATAGAGGTGTGACTGAATTCAATAAATATCACACAAACGACCCTAACAAAAAAAGTGATTCACTCAAGAATCACATAAAATCTTCTTCCCACTCATTTATATCCTTGACATCGGTATTCTGCCAATTACTTCGCATATTTGACGAAGCAAAGAGTGATTCATATGATCTTTTTTCAGCTTCTTCACGTCGTTGTTTCTCCTGTTGAAGTTTCTCTTTTTCCTATATTAATAAAAAAATAATTAATACGATATTGATGATGGATGAATGAATGAATTAAAACAAGATGACAACGAGCACGAGGTAGCTTTACTTTTTGATTAGCAGCTTCCCTAAGAACCTTCCTTCGTTCCTTTTCCATCTCTAACTTTTCAAGTGCCAGATCTGGAAATGACTCCTTTCTTGTTTTGTCAAGACGCCTGACAATTTGATTATCCTTCTCAATCGTTATTTTTTTAACCTTAATATAGGGTAAAAAAATCCATACTTGGTTTTAATATAATTCAGTTTTCGCAAGTAAATCAATTTGATGAAATAATAAATGATGGTAGCAACAATAATAATAATAATAATAATAATCACAATACCAAACTAGGATTGT